TTTTTTTTAAATAATTAAAGTAACAAATATTTTTCTATTTTTCTTATGTTTTATGGAAAAATTAATTAAAACAACCAAAAAAATTGTTTTATGGAAAAATTAATTAAAACAACCAAAAAAATTTACTTTTGATTTTAATAAATAAATTACTAAAATAAACAATGTTTTTTCTATATATAAATGAATAATTAACTAGCCATTCATTTTTTTTTTTTTTTGTAAATGAATAATTAAATAACCATTCTATTTTTTATTTATTTATTATAGGACATAATTAAAAGAGTTGTTAATATTTTATTTCTTATCAATAAATATTTAAAATAACCTTCCTTTTTTATTTTTATTTTTTAATCATAAAAAATTAAAACAACAATTTCTTTTTCATTTTGATCTTAATAAATAAATAGCAAATAATAAATTCATTGTTATCTTTTATTTCTCTAAATATATAATCAAACATTAATTCCTTTTTTATTCTGATTTTTATAAATAAATAATTAAAACAGTTATTCATTCCTTGTTTTTATTTTATAAATATATAAAATGAAATAAGATAATTGACTTAATTATTTTTTTTTTCCTTTTTATAAATAAAATTAGCAGCCTCCAACAGTAACATATCTGTAACACCCAACTCATTGTTCCAAGACTCCATTCTTTTAAGTGAATGTAATTGGTTTTCAATAATGAAGTAATATATTCGAATAGAGAGGTATGCGTTCTTACCCTCACTATTTGATTTTGAGGTGAGTAAGAGACAAAAATTCATAAATACCTTGACGGTGGGTTATTCTCTATAAAATATCATTTCAACTCAACAAGTGAATTAAATGATTATTTTTTCCTCTTTATATTCTTTGATATTTCCATAAGTTTTTTTTTTTTTTTTTAAAAATTTCAATAAAAAAAGCAAAAGTTACCTTAAGATTATTTGTCAAAATCATGGAGTTACACAAATATTTTTGAACTAAAGTATGTGTAGTAAATTTTTTGCTAAAACGGACTTCTCAGGGCCATTGGCTCCGACATTACTTGCCTCACTCCTCCTTCGTCCCTTACTCTTCTTCATTGCTTACTTAATTTGCATAGCCATTTCTCCTTGGTTTCAAAAGCTGGTAGAGATTGTGAAGCGGTTATGGATATGGTTTTATCATGAGTTTCTTCAAGCCACTCTTGCCTTTGTTTTAACTAGCATCAATTTGCAGCTACCGCCAACGCCGCCCATTGAAAGAAGAGAAGAAAAAGAAGGCGATAACTTCATCGTTCCGATTTTGCTCCAAGAAGTATCAGACTCCTCTTCTGATATTGAGCTTGGGTTAGCTTTAGTTACGTGAAGAGTCTGTTTAAACTCTGTTTTTCAGATTTTAAGTAGGCGGAACGACTTATGCATACTCAAGGTTTGTTGAAACGACAAGTGGATATCCGAAAGGTTTTGAAACGACAAATAGGTACCTTCCGTCATGTTCCGTTAGTGATTTTGGTTAGATAATAGTGAAAAGACTAAAATACCCTTGAAAGTTTAATTTTTAGTTTTTTATAAATTTAAAAATTTTAAAAAACCCCCTAGGTTTGCTAATTTACTAAACACCCCAATATATAAAATTTTATAAAAATAACAAAACACCCCCGCCACCCCCGCAGTGTCAGATTCCAGCCACCATCGCCGGAATCTGGCCGGAAAATTGCGTTACGACACAGACCCATTTGTGTCGTAACGCGTAGATCTTTCATTTTCCGGCAAGATCCGTGGCTGATCTGGCCGGAAAAGACCAGATCTATGGCCACATCTGGCCGTCGAGACCGGAAACTTGCCAAGAAATTGTGTTACGACACAGACCCATCGGATCTGTGTCGTAACACGTCGATCTGGCGTTTTCCGGCCAAATCCGTGGATGATTTGGCCAGAAAAGGCCAGATCTGGCCGTCGAGGCCGAAAAAGGCCAAACATAGATCTGGCCTTTTCCGGCCAGATCCGAGGCGGATCTGACGAGAAAAGGCCAGATCGGTGTGTTACGACACAGATCCGACGGGTCTGTGTCGTAACACAATTTTCCCTCCAGATTCCGGCGGTGGTGGCCGGAATCTGGTACTGTGGGTGTGGGGGTGTATTTGTTATTTTATAAAATTTTTATATATTGGGGTATTTAGTCAAATTATCAAACCTATGGGGTTTTTTAGAAATTTTTAAATTTATAAAACACTAAAAATTAAACTTTCAAGGGCATTTTAGTCTTTTCACTATTATCTAACGAAAATCACTAACAGAACATGACGGAAGGTATCCATTTGTCGTTTCGAAACCTTTTGGGTATCAACTTGTCGTTTCGACAAATATTGGGTATGTATAAGTCGTTCTCCCTTTTAAGTACATGTGACTAATTTTGTTTTGTAAGTTTTCACTCAGTTTCTTGAGAAAAATAATCTGTTGACATGATTAAACTTTTGTCATATATAATTGGGACTTACATGTTGCATATGAAATTAATTTGTCACATGATCAAAACTTTATTATGATTTTTCATTTATCATACAATGAGCTGCTGATCTTGTTGTGTGATGTCAACAAAGAATAATATTATAATAAGTTAGCCACGTTTCGATCCCCTGTAGTTGTAGGATTGTTTTGTTTAATTTTTAGTTGCAAGATTGGTAATATTTCCATGTTTTCAACCAGGGATGAAGAAAAAAGGCGCCGGCCGAGGCTTTGACAGGCCCCAACTCTGGTCCAGAGTATTTGTTTCTCTCCCAATTTATAACCCTAGATTGTCAGGAGGTTTATGTGCAATTTAAGAGGACCTCCAGAATCCACCAGGAGGAGTTTATTGAACTTCTGGCTAACCAAATGGAGCTTGTTCATTTTATCTTCTTAAAAACCAAATTGAGAATTGACGACATGAGCTAATTTATCAAATCAACAAGACTTATATACTAAGTTTGTGTTGGTTATAAAGACTTGATGTAATGTCACTGCTTTTTAATGTAGTGTCTTGTTGGTATTACAATCCAGTCAATTTCACTCTGTATAGTATATGAAGATTAAGAGGGTTGAAATCTATGATTTCTTATTTTTAATTTGTTATGCCTGAAAATATAAGGGCTGACGTCAGGACCCTTCAGCCCGCAAAAGTCAGATCATTGGAACAGCCACCGTCTGCGTCTGTCAGGATAGTGGGCGCGCGTCAGGCTAGTCAGGAGGCTGTGGTGCTCTCACGTGTCCAATCCCTGCTCTAAATCGCGCAAATCACTCTGGAAGGTGGGCAATACGACATAAAGAAGGATTTGCACGAATAATCCCTCCAACTTGCAGATTTAGTGATCATTGCCTCAAGGCATCTAACTATAAATTAGGAATTCATCTCTCATTAAAGGGGATTCGCACATTTTTCACTTGATTAATTATTCTCTCTTTTCTTAGCAATTGATATCTTGTAATATCATTATAAAGTCAGTCAGCTAATAGCGACCTGACCCCTATCATCAATATAGGCATCAGTGGACATAGGACTTGCTACCTTAGCATCCGAACCACTTTAAAAACTGTCTCCATTGCATTTACTATCTCTTATCCATTACTTTCACATGTGATTTCGGGGTCCCTACAATATTTCGCACGTGCGTTTCGTTGGTGCAGAATCTCGCATCAACATAATTATTTGAAAACTCATCCAATCTTGCTTTGCAACATTTTGAATGTAGGTCGGAATCAACAATTTAATTTCAACCACACACTAAAAAGCATCAAACAAAATAAAATAATAACCAGTATCAAAACTATGTCCATTAACCACAACTGGGTGGTTTGATGGTAAAAGAGTAAAGAGATTTAACATGAGTTTTTGAGTTCGAGTGTCCATATGCCCTAATATAGAGGTGGTCATTGAGGAGATTTATTTGGCGGTCAATTTCAGAGTTCCGAAGGATTAGTTGAAAAGAAAAAACTATGCTAATTGGACTTCTAATTTGGCAAATAAATCTTTAATTTCCTTCAATTTCATTTTATGGTTAACAACTAATTCACCGTCTAAATTAAAATTTTAAATAAAAAAATGAATTAAAACATGTCGACTCTTCAACAGTATTGTTTTCGAAAACGTAATAATAATAATAATGATATCCCAACGGCAACTCTTTCCAAAACCAACAGATGGACAACTTAATTTGAATCATCATTTAATTCAAAAATAGATATCAAAAAGGCCATCCTCAAGTCATATTTTATTCCACTAAGAGCAAAATACCAAGTTTAATGATCAAGTAAAATAGTGACTCTCCGACATTAAACATCAAGTTTCCAAAACAAAGCTCATTGCCTTCGACATACCCTAACCCTCATCGACTGTTAACAACCACGACAAAATGGTTAAAATGAGTTTTGTATTATATATGTAAATTACAGATCTAGTCGTGTGAGAATTTATATTAATAAGAAGTTAGAATGAGTTTTGTTGTTTAAAATATATATTTTATCTTAAAGAAATGAATAAAATATTTATATGATAAATTGAATTTATTATAGTCTTTATCCAAAAGAAAAAGTATATGATACATAATGAATTATGATAGAAAATTAAGAGACATTTTAAAATATGGATCTTATATAATAATTTATAAATTTCATTTAATTATATATAGATACATACATATGTATGTATATATATGTATGTATGTATTAATACATACATATGTATGTATGTATGTATCTATATATACATCATATGTATGTGTATATATATATATATATATGTTGAGCTTCGTGAAGAAGAAGAAGATGAGCTGAGAAGAAGAGAGAGAATGAAGAATAAACTGCTTTCTTTATTATTAGTCGACCAAAATAGAAGCAGACAAGCAGACTATATATAGTCACTATTACAATGGATTAATTATAACATAAAATGTAATTAGTGAAGCGAACTAACTAACTAATCTGTAACTAATCTGAAGATTAACAACTAATCAGTATTTACAATATTTACACACCCTAATACTCCCCCTCAAGGTGGCTAGTAAATGTCTTTTACAGCCATCTTGGACAACAAAGAAAAAAACTGAGTAGAGGGAAGGGGTTTAGTAAACAGGTCAGCCAATTGGTATTGAAAACGAATGGGCAGCAATTTGAGAACTCCCGAAGCAACTCTTTCACGAACAAAATGGCAATCTATTTCGATATGCTTAGTGCGTTCATGAAAGGTTGGATTAGAGGCAATATGTATCGCAGCTTGATTGTCATAATATAGCAAAGCAGGAGAAGCAACTGTGACTTGAAAATCTTGAAGAAGTTGCTGCAACCAGATGAGCTCACTGGCAGTAGAGGAAAGAGCTCGATACTCAGCTTCAGTTGATGATCGAGAGACGGTGGTCTGCTTTTTGGCCTTCCAAGAGACTAAAGAGTCTCCAATAAAGATGCAAAAACTTGTAACGGAGCGACGAGAATTAGGACATGATCCCCAATCAGAATCAGAGAATGCTTTAAGCTGTAAAGAAGAATGAGATGAAAACAGCAACCCTTGGCCAGGACTGTTCTTGAGATAACGAAGTAGATGATGCATCGCCTTGAGATGAGGAAGGTGAGGTTGGGCCAAGAATTGAGTGAGCTTGTGAACTGCAAAAGTGATATCTGGGCGAGACAAAGTGAGGTAAAGAAGTTTCCCAACAAGCCGTCTATAGTGTGTAATATCAGAAAGCAATTCACCTTCAGTAGCAGTCAATCTGAGTTTTGGATCCATGGGAACAACAGTGGGTTTACAAGCCAAGTAACCAGAGTCCTCAAGCAATTGTAAGGTGTAATGACGTTGAGAAAGTGCAATACCCTGTTTGGATTGAGCAATCTCAAGACCAAGGAAGTACTTGAGACCACCAAGATCTTTTAGCTTAAACTATGTATGCAGAAACTGTTTGAGCTCATCAATAGCTTGAGGTGAAGGACTAGTAAGGATGATATCATCCACATAAACGAGAAGAGCAATAAACGAGGACCCATGACTCTTTGTAAAGAGAGAATAATCGGACTTGAAGTGAAGAAAGCCAAACTTGATCAAGGCTTGAGAAAATTTTGAATACCATTGTCTCGAGGCTTGCTCTGATACCATATTAAGCTTCGTGAAGAAGAAGAAGATGAGCTGAGAAGAAGAGAGAGAATGAAGAATAAACTACTTTCTTTATTATTAGTCTACCAAAATAGAAGCAGACAAGCAGACTATATATAGTCACTATTACAATGGATTAGTTATAACATAAAATGTAATTAGTGAAGCTAACTAACTAACTAATCTGTAACTAATCTGAAGATTAACAACTAATCAGTATTTACAATATTTACAAACCCTAATAATGTATAATGCTGGGAAGGTACTTCTCGTGAAGTTTTACTGAGAAAACTTGAATTAACACTGAAGAATCATAAAGTGGATGAAGCATGGGAAACTTTTAATGATTTAAAGAGATTGCATGGTTTTCCTGAGTATTCAATTGTGAACAAGTTTGTCACCGGGTTGTCTTACTCATCTGAGTCTCATTGGGTAAAAAAAGCATGCATTTTGGTTCTTATAATTTAGAAAGAGAAACCAAATTTACTTCAGCTTGACGTTCTAACGATACTTAGACTGATGTTGGAGAAAAAGAATCTTCCAGCAATGAATGTATTGTGGTTGGTTTTTCTGCATATGGTGAAGACTGAAACTGGGACGTGTGTTGCATCAAGTTTCTTGATTCAGATGTGTGATTGTTTCCTACTTTCAAGTGCAGAGAAAAGCAATTGCGCGAAGCTGATCAAACCTGATACAATGATCTTTAACCTTGTGCTGGATGCTTGTGTGAGATTCGGTTCACCTCTTAAAGGCCAACATATAATGGAACTTATGTCACAAACTGGGGTCATTGCTGATGCTCACACAATTGTTATTATGGCTCAGATTCATGAAATGAACAATCAGAGGGATGAGCTGAAGAAATTTAAAGATTGCATTGATCGAGTCTCAGTTCCATTTCTGCAACATTACAGGCAGTTTTATGATAGTCTTTTGAGCTTGTATTTTAAGTTCGATGATATGATGCAGCTTCTGAGCTTGTATTGGATATGAATAGATATCGAGACTCTCTTCTTGATCAAAAACTTATGAAAGGCTGTCAAAAACCTTGCCGTGTTCAGTTGTTCCGATAGGTTCTCCCAATCTGAGGAACGGATTGAAGATACAGATTATGCCTGAGCTATTAGAGAAGGATTCCATCCTCAAAATAGAAGGTAAACAGGAGCTTGTTCTCTTCAAAAATGGGAAACTTCTGTTGACATGTGAATAACTGTACAGACCATATTTGGAAGATTTCCAGTAATCTCCAAATATGTAGTTTAGGTAATTACCTTGTATGTATTGATCTACATTCATTTTCCTTTATTTGGTTTCCTTATACATTACATTCACAATTGTATAAATTGTGACTTCTGTGCATGAAAAGTAATATACAAAAATTATTCTCTTTCTCTTCTCTCTTGCCTCTCTTGCACTCTTTGGTAACTTAGTTCCTCCTCGTGCTTGCTGCCACACCAGCTTTTTACATGTTATCAAAGCAGGTTGTCCTGCTAGCCATTTTCCCTGTTATGCACCAATAATTCGTTTTTTTTTTCCTACAATACAAATTCAAAGTTAGTCCTTCAAACCAAATGGCTATAAACCAAACAAACCCAATTGGGCCTGATCCAGCAAACAACCAAGCCAACACACACACACACACACAAATGGACCCAAATAGAGAGCCCAACCCAAACCCCAACCCAAACCCCGACCCGAACACCTTTCCTTTCGAGTTTTCAGGTCAAACTGGCCTGAACCCGTTTCCCTATCAATTCCAGATTTTCCAACCTCTATCTCGTCGGCTGGAGCCCGGTGACCCCCTGTATTCCTCCCTATCCGATGGACCAGAACTTGTTCTAGTCAAACACATTCTCACTGGCACAGACAATTACGCGACCTGGGCTTGCGATTTTCGGCGGGCGTTCATCGTAAAAGATAAAGACGAATTTATCGATGGCACCGTCACACCACTAGAAGATCCACATCAACACAAATTTTGGACCCGTTGCAACATGTTAGTCCGCTTGTGGATCGACAACTCCCTAACCCAGGAGATTGCCATCGGTTTACCCCCAACAGACATCGCCGAGGAACTCTGGTGATTCATCAAAGAAATGTACGGCCAGTTGGATCTAGCCAAACTTTTCACTTTACGGCGAAATCTTGTCGATGTTAAACAGCAAAATCAAACTGTTACGGCCTACTACAATCGCCTTTCAACCCTGTGGAACGAGCTCGATGCCGTCACAGATCCTCTCCATGGACCACCGGAAACCCTGCACCAATACCAACAAATCAAAGAACAGGATCGTTTAATCCATTTTCTTCTTGGATTAAACGAAAAAAATTTAGCCTTTCGCACCTAGATGTTGGCCGCAACCTCGCCGCCTTCCCTTCGCCAGGCTTACCAGCTTGCTGTCCAAGACGAAAGCCAATGCCTCGCCGCCATGGAATCACCCAAGTTGGGTGATTCTATGGCCTTCGCTGCAGACAGAGACAAGAACAGTAATGGAGCGCTGCGGCTAGGGTTTGCAAATGAGAATGAACAGGCTCTTTTATATAAAGCCGTGAACGACCACGATTCAATCCAGAAATCTGACGGCCCACAAGTAGTCAACCAAGTCAACAATCAAACCGGTCAACCCTTTAGTAATTCATCTAATGGCCCATATTTTTCAATTCTCAATATGGATCCAATGGTTCTGGATCATCCCGATCGAGTAAAAAAATGTATTGTGACTATTGCGAAAGACGAAATCACAATCGGGACAGATGTTGGAAATTACATGGTTACCCTAAAAATAGAACAGGCCTTCCGACCGCTAATAATGTGACTGTCACTACCACTTCTGGATCTGAGACCCCATCCTCCTTGCTCAAACCTGAACAAATCACTCAACTCATCCAGATGTTGCATCAACTCCCAACAAACAATGCTTCTGCAAGTTATGCAGGTACATCTTTTTGTTTCAGTAATTCAATTTCCCGTGATTTATGGATTATTGACTCAGGTGCTAGTGATCACATAATTTGTGACCCTAAATATTTCCAATCACACACAAACACTGTTACACAATTATCTGTTCGAATGGCAAATGGCAATATTGCCAATGCAACCCACACAGGGATAGTCCAACTTAATGACAGCATCACTCTCTGAAATGTCCTTTTGGTTCCTGCTTTTAATTTTAATCTCATCTCTGTCTCTAAATTTTGCACTGACAATAATTGCATATTGCGATTCCTTCCGGATATGTGTACCTTTCAGGACCATTTGACTGGCAAACAGATGGGCTTGGGTAAAGCCCACCAGGGACTTTACTACTGGGAGCCATTTTCTTTTCGTAGTACTAAATATTATTGTAATGCCAATTTTAATAATAAATATCTGATTTTACATCAAAGAATGGGTCACAACGCATCTATACCTCACTCTCACTGTCCAATTTGTCCCATTGCTAAACAGCCACGGACGAGTTTTCCCATTAGCACATCCTCCACTGACCAACCTTTTGCCCTAATCCATCTCAATATCTGGGGCCCATACTCTGTCCCTAATCATGATGGATCCAGGTATTTTCTTATCGTCGTAGATGATTTTTCTTGCGGAACCTGGATATTCTTAATGTAATCCAAAGCTCAAGCCTTTTCCCATATTCTCAACTTTCTATCCATGGTCCAAACACAATTCCAAACACGGGTTCAACAGGTTAGGACTGATAATGCTTTAGAATTTTTTAACCAGCAATGCTCTTCCTTGTTCCTCTCCCACGGGATTCTCCACGAGAGTTCCTACACTTATACTCTTCAACAAAATGGGATTGTTGAACGAAAACACCGTCATCTCTTAGAAGTAGCTTGAGCCCTCAAACACCAAGCCAATATCCCTGCCAAATTTTGGGGCGAATGTGTAATTACTGCTACCTATCTCATTAATCGCATGCCTTCACGCGTTATTGGAAGTAAAACTCCTTTTGAATTACTGTTTGGAAAGATACCTGATAACTCTCACTTACATGTTTTTGGTTGTTTATGTTATTCCACAATCGTGGGTTCCCGTGACAAGTTTGCTCCTCATGTCAGGAAATGTGTTTTCATGGGCTATCCTATGCTGCAAAAAGAATATCGCCTTTATGATCCTCAACTTAACAAATTCTTTGTTAGCAGAGATGTTGTCTTTCATGAGAGTGTCTTTCCCTTCTCGGCAACTGACACTGAATCTGCTCCATCGGCTCCTCCCTTACTAGATTATCAGTCAGAATCTCCCATCACTATGGTTCCCGTTCCATTTACTCAGCTACAATATGATCATGCTACTACTTTGGACCCTGACTCCACGGTTACTGATCCAGCTCCAACCTCTCCCCTTACCACGGATCATTCCCAGGATACTCCCTCATCTACAGATATGGCCCTTCCTACTCCTTCACTAGCTACTGCTCCTTTACGTCGGTCTTCCAGAACTACCCGGCCACCTATCTGGACAGCTGATCACATTTGCTCTACTGTGAATGGTACTGCCTATCCCATATCCAATTATGTCAATTTTGATCGCTTATCTCCTGGACACAGATTTTTTATGAGCAATATTTCTGCTGATCGAGAACCAGCCACCTTTTCTGATGCTATCCAGCATGCTTATTGGTGTCAGGCCATGGAGACAGAATTAAATGCTCTAGTTAGCAACCACACATGGGACCTTGTTTCCCGACCTTCACATAGGAAATCGATTGGTTGTAAGTGGGTCTACAAGATAAAATATCATGCTGATGGTTCCATCAAAAGGTATAAAGCTCATCTGGTTGCCAAAGGCTTCACTCAACAGGAAGGATTTGACTATCAGGAAACATTCTCCCTGGTAGCCAAACATGTCACTGTCCGTACATTCCTTTCTGTCGCTTCTCACCATGATTGGCCACTTCATCAGATGGACGTCCATAATGCCTTCCTTCATGGGGATCTTGATGAAGAGATTTATATGGATATTCCTCCCGG